AAGCTTAGCTTGGCTAAAAAGCTTATTTCAGTCAAAAGAGCTCATCTCAACCACATCAACTAAAGAGCTTATCTTGGTAAATTACTATCATAAAGGCTTAGTTGGACCACCTTAACTAAAAATAGCTTAACTTGACCAAAAAAGCTTACCTTAATCAAAAGAGCTCATCTCGATCGCATCGATCAAAAAGCTCATTTTGATAAATTATCTTCATAAAAGCTTAGCTAGGTCATCTTAGCTAGAAGAGCTCAACTTAGTAAAAAAAGTTCACTTTAGTCAAAAGAGCTCACTTTGGACAAAGTGATTAGCTTGACCAAAAGAGCTCACCTTGACCAAAAGAGCTCACCTTGGACTAAGTGATTAGTTTGGCCAAAAGAGCTTCCTTCGGCCATTTTGGCCAAATAGCTCATATTGGTGAATTGCCTTTACAAAAACTTAGCTGAACCATCTCAGCTAAAAGAGCTTAGCTTGGTCAAAATAGCTAAACACGACTAAAAAAGTTCAACTCGACCAAAAAAGCTCATCTTGGTAACCTTTAAACCGATTATGCACTTAATCTAGAACACACGTGCAAAATCGAATAACCATCAGGTCAGACCGTGGCTCAAAGCTAGTCATCATAAAAAATCGACCTTCCCCTACAACGTCGACCTTTGATGAACCAAACTATCAATCTATTCTTTCAGCCAATCTATCCCACACCAAGAGACATTGGTAATAAATTTGATGATCTGATACTCAAACTGCCTGATAAGAGGATAGAGTGTTAGGAGCATTTGATGGGTAAAAAGGTATAGTAGTCTTTTTTTCCTTTCAAAGCCTTCAGCAGACAATTAGAAGTATCTTTGTCATTTGTGCTGACCTGACAAATCAAGTCAACCTAACATGGTTAGTGCCACCTTAGCTTGGCCTTATCTTAATTATCCTTTTATGGTCCCCTCAGCTTACTTATAAATATAGATACCCTCAAGTCAAAGCTTGGTACTAACATTTGACGCATCAGAGTTTATGTCTGAGCTGTTCTCCCCAATCCAAATTAGTACAAATAGCTTAGTTGATTAAAAATGGGGAAAAGAAGAAAAAGATAGATACTTCGAAACAAAAATTTTAAAAATATGAAATTTATAAAGTGGTTACCAAAAATAATAACATTTTGAAATCAAGCGTGAGATCATATGGTATAGTACCTCAAATGTCTAAAATTCACATAGATCATACAACTTACATTCATTGGTTTTTTTTTTTTTTTTTTATGGATCCCTCTTCCTTTATTAGGAAAATCTTTTAGAATATGTTTGGTTAAAAGAAATTCATAAATTTTTTCTTAAAATTTTGATAGTGGGTATTTGTTTTTCATATTTAGTTTAGGGTAATCTGATTATAAGGAAAAATGTCAAATTTTTAAGAATATCTGAAATTTCAGAATCATAAAACCTACATCTCTTTATGGTATTTTAGAAAAGTTATCTTATTTTTAAATTTGACCTAAATAAAAAATTAATGTACCCATTACCTTTTAAAAAATAAATCTGAAAGTGACTAGAATGCAGTTGTAAGTTTTTTATAAATAATTTAAATTTTTTTAATTTATGTTGTAATTAAAATGTTTTAAGAAAAAAACATGAACACCTTAATTAATACTTTTAACGCCTTAATTGATTTATTTTAAAATTTATAAAATAAATAAATTAAAATATTTTTGAACCCGAACGCCTTAATTGATTCTTTTAAAATTTATAAAATAGATCAATTAAGACATTTGTGAATAAAAATGCCTTAATTAATTTGTTTTAAAAATTATAAAACAAATCAATTAAGGTATTTTTCAACACAAACATCTTAATTGATCTATTTTATAACTTTTAAAACAAATCAATTAATACGTTCAAAGTACCAAACACCTTAATTGATCTTTTTTTAAATAATATTTCATCCTATCAATTAAGCCATTCATATTTACAAATACTTTAATTAATTATATTTAATAAATTAAAATAACCAGTCAATTAAATATTTATTTTTGAATTGCTAATGATATCATTTATTGTTTGATATTTATTATTAATAAAATAAAATAAAATGTTACCATAAGCTTGTCAAGGAGATTATAATAATTATATAAGAATTAATATGCATGAATTTCTTTAAATCAAACGAATGAATTTAAATACGAGATATCTTAAAATGAAAAAAAAAAAACTCTAAACATTGCATTTATTTTAATATCACATTTTCTTTCAAAATTCAAGATTTTACAAACCAAATGCTCCTTAATACATCCCAATTACTAACCTAGTCAGGCCCCAATAATTACAATAATTTTATTACATTTTCTATAATTTTTTTTTTAAAATTACATTTTTTATCATTATTCAATCAAAATTAAGGATTGTATCAACATTTTATCACATTTTCTATAAAGTTTTTTGAGAATTTTATTTTTTATAATTATTCAATCCATATGATTAAATAATTTTTTTATATTTAAAATTATAAAAATTAAATTATGATAACTAATAATTTTTAGTAATGAACATAATTAATATCATAGATGTTATCCTATTAATAGGATATCAAGTTAGAATGAATCAAAATAATAAAAAATTTAAATCCAATTATAATTTTTACAAAATCCAAACATAGATTGGAGTATTCTTTTTTTCTGAATTTGAACTCAACTCGAAAGAATTGTGATTAAGTTTCTTGAGTTCAACATTCTATATTATTTTTTTCCTTTTTTGACCAACATATTTGTCCTTATTATTTATGCATAAAAGATATACAGCATATAATTTTTATATTACGGATCATTTTTTTAAATTGGCTTGTCTGAACCTTGTAGCGTGGGACCAGAACTGGAAGAGAGGTTTCTATGAATTTCCTTCCCCAAAAACTACACCCACAGCTTCGAATCTTACTTCATCGAAACTTCTCGTACTAACCCAACACCCACAGCCATCCTACTGTTTTATTCCCTTCCACCCTCCAATCAATCCGCAAAACTCAAACTAACGAAACCGAAATACGATTCCATTGAACCAAATCCACATGGATCTGCCAGCCATGGCAGAAGACGCAGCCGTAACACTCTACAACAACACGGCCATCACGGACGCCAAGAAAAACCCATTCTCAATCAAAGTGGGCCTGGCCCAAATGCTACGTGGCGCCGCCATTGTCGAAGTCTCAACCCCCAACCACTCCAAGATCGCCGAAGAAGCAGGCGCCCGTTGTTTAGTCCTCATGGAACCGAACTGCCAAGGCATTTCACGCATGCCGGATCCTCCTCTCATCAAACAAATTAAGCGTGCCGTTTCAATCCCCGTCATGGCTCCTTCCCGCATCTCGGCCATTTCGTTGAAGCCCAGATACTCGAACGAGTCGGAGTCGATCACATTGACGAAAGCGAGGTTTTAGCTATAGCTGATGAAGATAATTTTATTAACAGGCATAATTTTAGATGCCCTTTTGTTTGCGGCTGTAAAAACCTCTGCGAAGCGTTAAGGAGAGTGAAGGGAGGAGCTGCCATGATTAGAAAGCAAGAGGACTTGTTAGGGACTGGTAACATTGTTGAAACGGTTAAAAACGTCAGGTCTCTGATGGGTGAAATTAGGATTTTAAATAACATGGATGAAGATGAAGTTTTCGCGTTTTCAAAGAAAATTGCTGCTCCTTACGATTTGGTTGCTCAAACTAAGCAAATGGAGAGACTGCCAATGGTGCATTTTGCTGCTGGTGGAATGGTGACTCCCGCAGATGCTGCATTGATGATGCAATTAGGGTGTGATGGTCTTTTTGTGGGATCAGAAGTGTTTGATAACTGTTTGGATCAGTATAAGCGTGTTCGGGGAATCGTAGAGGCGGTTATTACAATGATCCTCATGTTTTGGTCGAGAACAGTTGTGGATTGGAGGAGGAAATGGCGGGGCTTAATGTTAGTGAAGAAAGGATGGAACAGTTTGAAAAAAGAGGAGCTTGATCAAGTAATGTTTTTGTTTGTTTGTTTGTTTGTTGTTGTTGTTGAGAATACGAGTCTGTTTGTTTTTTTTTCCTTGCGGCTGTTGTTGTTTTAGTTTTGCTAAGGTTATGATTTAGATATGCTGTTTTTTGTATGTTGAACTCTTTGAGGATATAATACAGAAATGAAGTAGAATAAGTTGTTTAATCAGTCATTCAGTCCGTCAAACTGTTTATGTAATTACTTTGTTTTTTTTTTTTTTTCTCACTACTTATAGTTGTCGATGAGATTGATTTAGTGGTTATTTGCTATTGAGTGATTACAGATTTACAGTGTAGCCATACTGGTGACTGCCTGATTAAGAAGTTTATTTGTTTTGTGTAATTAAACATTTGTTCTTCTTTTCACCTAGGCTAACATGATAGAATTTCTGCTCTGTGTTGTATTTTCGTTTATGATTTGTTTAATTCTTACACATTAACATTTCTGAGCTAATATAGAGAGGAGAATCACTGTTGTAGTATTAGTTCTGTGTTTACAGTACTATCATATACCTGGTAGGAGCATGTTGTTCTGAACGAAAATACACAGCTATTGCTTAGCAGAGCACTTAGTTACCTAATTCAGTTCTGATCCTATAGCCAATGCAACTGACCATGGTTAATTTGTCCATAGTCTTTGTGTGTGCTAATTTTATAGTTTACCAGCCTGGTCGATGTTTTTTCATCAATGCAAATGATGCATGCTAATGCCTTAGAGGTGCTGCAATTATGGAATATGATTTTGAAAGTAATTGCTATTTCACATTTATGGTTGTACATGTAACCCATTAATGCATCATATTATCAGCATTTGTTAAAAAAAAGTGTTTGAATGTCATCTGTATTAATAACAGGCATAAAGATTGCACTAGCATGCTGTGAACATCTCATTTTGGAGGAAGTGAGTTGTTGAGGATATAAGTCTAACAAAATAAGAGTATAAAATCATGTAGATGTATCTTTTATTTCAGTTTGTAATGAAATCCAGATCCAAGTGGTCTCAAGCAATACAATGCTCCAAGCTTATTTAAAAGGGTCCACTTAGTCTCTCTATAATTTATGCTTTACTTGTTGGTTGCCCTGTTTTTACCGTTTCTGAAACTTGTGGAATTCACAAAAAAGTTTACCTTCGTTCCTTGTTCCTAGTTTCCCTAGCTTATTAAACACACTAGATGATTTGGAAGCAAAGGATGGAAGCGAATGAATGTGTTCATTTTATAATGCATTAGATAAGGGTTCTGGCTGTTTGTTGCTGGACATACAATCTATTTCTCCATTGTTTCTGATTGTATAGTCCTGAAGAAATAATGTAGAATAAATTGGTCAATTAATCTTGTGACTTCTTGCATAGAGGTAATCTATTCCTCGTGGTACAATTTCTTAAGCTTGATCAGATTCTAGACGTTGAAGTTGCAATGTGAAGTCTTCTCAGCTGCTGAAAGGGTAAATAGATTACAATGATTTTTTTTTTTTTCAATTTTTTCCCTTTCTAGAAACATTTATATAATCTAATGGTCTTTCAACATCATGGCATATCATACATGATTCTTGGCCTGCTCTTAGAAGCTATAAATAAATTTTTATTGAATTATCATCATATGGTCTATATCATTGAGCCTTTCAACTCTTAAGCTCAGTTTATTCTAGATTGTGTTCTCTGTCTGAATGTTTCCATTGTTGAATAAACACCTCAATGCAATCTCGTAAGCAGAAAATATAGCCCCATTGACTACAAAAGCTCTAGCAACAGCAGTTGCTAGCCCTCTCCATAGCACCCGATATCCCTCCTGTTTTACACTTTTGTGGAGGCAATCAATGATGCCATTGTACTTTTGTGGGGACGTCGGTGACTGAGCCTGCAGTCGTGTCTTTATAACATCTAGGGGATAGCAGCAAACCCAGCTAGCAACCCCTGCTAAACCTCCTGCTATCAGCATTGTTCTCAGGCTTTCTTGGCCACTCTTTCTGCATCCTGGGTGAAGCTGTTCTCGCGTATACTCATACGTCCAAAAGTAGAATCCATGAGCAGGTGCATCTCTAAGGGCAGTGATAGCAAAACCCCGGTATAGTCCTCTTAAACCTTCTGTTTTCAGTATGCCTTTAGCAACACTAATTGGCCCTGTGTGAGCACTTGCTGATTGGATAGTTGCGTAACTTGTACTCTGCAATTGCAACCGGATTTTTACTAGTTCTACTGGAGAGAGCATCACGCTCTGTAGGGCGCCAGTTCCAACTCCTCCCAGAGCAACACCTTTGTAGGAAGGGGGGTCGGTGGCAGAAACAGATGAGTCAAATGCTCGTGAAAGAATGGCGTATATCTGGAAAACCATAGCATTCTGCAATGCGCAAATCTTTCTGTCAGCACTACTCTTATCCATCTTGGAAACAATACAAAGAAAATGCATCAAATATCAATGCACGCCTGTCAGTTCACCCTTCCAGGGCTTTACGTTTAAGCAATTAGCAGTCTAATTCTAATATACCTATAAGGCCCTATTTCGATTATTTTACAAACAACTGATATTTTCAATGTTTGTAATGCACATTGTTGAATGCATGATAACTCAGATTCAGATAAGATTACTGCAAACCAAGTAAGAATGTTCCAGGAATATCTTTTCAATTTTCTGTTACATCGAATGGCTAAGCATACAGGTACATAAGGGGAAAAAAAAACCAGCTTAGTGAAATGAACTAAAGTATAACCTTTTTAAACTCTTAAAATTTGAGCAGCAGGGCAAAAGCACCACAGGAGAATGCTGCCATTGCTGTTAAGTTAACCTTGGTAATTTTAAGATTATCCGGACTGGAAAATTTTCATTTGCGAGTTCCTTCTGTTTTCTCTCTCTTTTCTTTTTGTTGATCAATAGGATCAATAAGATGATCCAGGCAAAGTAATTTTTTTTCTTATAGAAAAGGAGGTACCATTTATTAGATAATATGGACCTTATTACAATTAAAATATTGGATCATCAGCAATGCATGGACTATGGAGGAAGGAAGGAAATATCAGGTCTCAGAAAAATCAAAATCCTTTAAAAATTTAAAAGAATAAGACCCAATTCCTATCATAAATTTTCAGCAGCATATACTTCCTAATAAATGTATGGGGCCGGACAACATTATCAGAAATTGTAACAGTGATAAGCTATAGGCATCAGGCCAAATTCCTAGACAATGACCTTAACCATATATCAAAGCCTAGTCACCATCCCCCGTTTGTAATAATAGAATGTGATTAATACCAAAATGCAAAGTGACATCAGTGGAAGCAAAAAATGGCTAATCAGCCAAACTACGGTCCAAAGCACCAGCTTCAACAAACATTAAAAAAAAAAAAAGGAGAAAAATTGTTGGGGGACCAAACAAGATTGATAAGTGCACTTGGTTAATAACATTTCATCAGCTAGATCCTGATAAGGTTGTAAAAACCCTCCATGTGATCCATTTAAATGCAATTTTAAACAAGTTTTTACTGCAGTAGGATGTCTTAGACTCAAAGCATAAAAAAATCACAACTAACTTGTGATCTACAAAAAGAAACTTTAGATTGAAAAAATCGATTGATAAGTAATTGGTAAAATGAAGAGATGAGAAAAGAACCTGAAAGGTAACTGATGCTAATGGTGCACCCATGCCTCTATAGAGTGCAGCAGGTCCTTCCGTGGCAACAACCCGGCGTAGGATGCTAAGGGAAGACCCTGAATTTGTGCTTTGTTGCCGGATTCTGAGGGTGTCAAGTGGATAGCCAGAGATGATACCAGCAATGCCACCAAAACCACCAGCCACAAATTCTCTTCCCCAGCTACTTGCAAGAAACTCTGGCCAGAAATCCATTATGCTTCAAATCTCATTATCCAGAACAACAGAAATATTAAGGTTTCTTGTTTATAACCAGAACCCCAACTCTTTTCCTTTTCCGTTTCCTACTTTTATACACAAAAAAAGGCAAGCAGCATCAACAGGACACGTTTAGTCTTTTTTTCTTGCACGGCTTTGAATCTTCTTCCTCCTTCCCTGCTCAAACTAGAAACGGATTTTTACCCTTTCTTCCTTACCAAAATGCTTTAAAACATCTTAAAAACTCTTCACTCTGCCTCTATCTGTCCCTTCAACCTTTTATCTGATTTCTTGCAAATGAAAAAAAAAAACGTCTTTTTCTGTCTCCCTGTCTCTACCACTCAAAGACCCTGTAAAACCTAAGTCCCTTTTCTTTGTAAACAAGGAAAACAAATTATAACCTTACAGTTCTAATGGTGTATCTCACTTCCTGGAATCGTTTAGTTTCTTTCCCTTGCAAAGAGGAAAGAAAAGCAACAACAAGAAAAAAAAAATGAAAGAGAAAAAAAAAAAGGACTGAAGAACCGAAGTCTGCAGACTGCAGAGACCAAGTTTCCCTTCTTTGTTTCCTCTTCCAAAAATAAGAGGATCCCAACTAATGCCAACGGTTCCTCTTTTGTTGGGAGCGTCCAGGAGGAGGAATGGCCAACATCCTCTTTCCAGTCCTTTTTAGCAGTATCCCACGTGGCCAAACATGGTTTCTACACGTTAACTCCTCCTGTCCCCTTGGCCCTTCGGCCCTCGGTGCTTTTGGGTTAGTGATCAACGTTCTTCCAGTCCTTTTTCTATTATTATCCCAATCAAAATTGGTCTCAAAGGTGGAGTGACACAACCCAACTTATGCCCATGGCTAATGTTCCAATGATTGCTGATTTTGATTTATTTGTATAATTCTTCACTAATATACATGTTATTATTGTACTACTAGAAAACAATCTAGTTGATAATGGATAGACTATTGGCTAATTTAAAATTGAATAACGGGAATCCAGTTGCCTGAGCAGTTACCAATGATTTGATTTGATATCATTATCTACTTTTCCTTTAAGATGATTTTGATATAATCAATAAGCTAGGAGTTGCATGTATGAATATAAGGTAGAGATATCTTAGACTCGGATAACTAATGGATTTCAATTTCAGACTCTCTGGAGGTAGAATCTTAATAAAATTATCTATAATAAAATGGTGGATCAGTTGTCCTAACAAGATAATATCAAATATAAATAGTTCATAAATCAGATATATAATTAAGATATTTTAATTGGGGTTCAAGATTTTGGTGCCTTATTGGCTTAACGTCGAACTGATGGCTTGACTTTTATGAAGATATATCTTTCACTACAGTGCTTATTTCAGTAAGATCTTGGTACAGTAACTTTTCTTTGACTAAAAAAGTGGATCAATGATTTGTTTGACAATTTTACAAAAATTTATGATGCAGAGAATCTATAATACTGTGACAACTGCAGAACATACTCAACTTGTATCACTGTAAACCATGAAATAGAAGAAGAATATCTAAATTTGAGTTGGATTAATGAAGAAGAAGGAAAGAAGTACCAAAAGAGAAGACATGTTTTAGCCAAACATATTTTATAAGAATACTTTCTTACAAAGGAAAACTTTTTAGGGAAGTTGTTTATATATTCTTTCTGAGAGAAGGAACACACAATTGACACAAAGAAAAAGTAAACAAATAGTAACCTAATAGGACTAAGTCATGATTATGGTTCATGATAGACTTGACATAAAGTGACTTTAATAAAGTTATTTTAGTAAAGTAGCATGACTTAAAGTAGATATAAAGTTGACATAAAGTAGACTTGATATAAAACTAATGTAGAGTTTGTAAGGCATCAACATCAACTTTGGAGGAAAGCTAGAAAGCATCTGAAAATTATCACATATAATTATACATAATTAGATTGGAATAGAAAATTCTTCTGTAGTACCATGAGTGAATTTTTGACATGATCATCATCATTTGCATGATTTATGGGTGTGTTCTGGAGAAAGGTTGAGGTGGGAATTGTCGGTACCTGGAGTGAAATCATAACCCAAATTTTTTAACCATTAATGTCGATTAAAATCATCATATGGGTCCTATGAGTCTTGCCATTCTATTTCTTTGAGAACATTAGGGGGTTTCCAATAAGGATTTCATTCTACTGGTCCTGTATGGTCAAGTTCATATCTTGTAGTTTCATAGAGAGTTTCTATCCATGCATCATCAAATCTGGTCTCATAAATCTTTTTATCAATTTTGAGGTGATAATTGTACTCTAGAGGGTAGTTTCCCCATGAAACATCATCTAGGAGTTCTAGCCAATTTTGCTTAGGAATTTTGTGATTCATTTCACAAATCTATCTCTGAAATTTTATGTACTCAGCAGAGTGATTAAAAAGTGATTGTGACAATGAATAACTTTGTGAGCTATAAATTACCATATATAAAAAATACTGAGGTTCTTTTGCTAAATAACTGCATGACCTATAAAAAATTAGAATAATGTGAGGATTAGGGAAGACATTTGTGTATCTCTCATAAGTGTATATCCATTGGATCCAAATTGGGATGGGTCTAAACCATTAGAAGAACATTTTGAGGGGTTAATGATTGAGGTCCATCTAGTGTCTTTTTAGGTTAATGGTTGATTGTTAAAAAGAAAGATAAGTGTTTTGAGTCTTGAAAGTGAAAATTCTATAGCAATGTAGTACATGTGACAAAGGTACCACATAAAACAAATTGTTAATTTTTGAAAACAAAGTGGATCAGGAATCTGAAAAGATGGATGAAGGGGTATTCAAGATGTATACCGAAAGATTGGATAGAGGTGTCCTTAAATCTTTTAAGTATTTTGGATTAGTATTTGAACAGGAGGTGAGGGGCTTTTTGGTCAAGGGTTTTGGTTTTAATTAGTTTGGTAATTCTAGAGGAAGACTTTTAATTGAGAGATTAAGAAATTCATCAGGTAAGTCAAATTCATCATCAAGGTGAGATGTTGTAAAAGAGATAACAAAAGTATTTTTTGAAGATGAAGCTTGAGAGGAAGAGGGTGAAGGATTCATCATGGAGATTACTGGAATAATTTGCAAAGTATTAAAAAGAGGTTTTAGAGGAGGTCTGGTTAACATGTCTGGGAGAATGTTCTCTGCCTTTTATATGTGCGGTGGTGAAAGGAGTATTTCGAGAACCATTGAGAAAGTCTGAGCAATTGTGCATTTGGCATTTGCTTTTTCTTGAAATTAAGCATCTGATAAAAAATTGACATATGCAATTCCACGAAAAAATGGTATCCAATAAGGTGAAATTCAAATCTTTGGATCCTATACTTTATAGCTAAAATTTCTTTTAGTGTAGAGTGATAATAGAGTTCCAAAACTTTGAATCTGCCACTTTTGTAACCATATATCTATCTGGTTCCATCTTTTTCTTCTAAAAGGATTGTTAACTAAAATTTATCGTTTGCGTCTATCAGTAATATCCTTTTTCCATATGAGAGAATCTTTAAAGTGAGAAGTGATTACGTTTTTATCTTCAGTGTCTGTATTGCTTTTTTTTGCATTTGGGACCACTTGAGAGTTTCTTTCTTTAACATTTGTCTGAGAGGATGAGTTAACTATACAAGATCTGAAAGAAATTCACTCATGTAGTTTATTATACCTAGAAATTATTGTACTTGCTTTTTTGAAAGATTTTCATTAAAAAAATTTGTAAGGGTTTGAGCAATGTGAGGTTGAGCTATGTATTGTCCATCTTTCAAATGCATGCCTAAGAAATCGATTTACGAGGCACCAATGATCATCTTTTTCTTTGAGAGCATTATCCTATACTATTGAACAATCTACTAGAACTTATTCAATAACTGTGTGTGGGATGTGACATCTAAAGAGAATAGTAAGATATCATCAACATAAATCAATGCATTATCAAGAATGAGAGTAAATATCTTCGTCATTGCTTTCTGAAATAGGGAAAAAGCAACTTTTAATCCAAAAGGTATAATTGTTCACTGAAAATTGAGTTGAGGGATGCAAAATACTATTTTGTATCTGTCATGTGGATGCATACCTAATTGCCAGAATCTTGCTTACAGGTCAAACTTAGAGAAAACTTTTGCATTTGCCAAATTTGTAAACAAAGTTTTTTTTGTCTAAAAGGGGAACCCTATTTCAGATCCCTCACACAGCAAGATTATTTAAAGAAGCTTTGGTCCTCTTATGCTATTTATCCCAACTCTATACCATTGCTATTGAGTTTAACTCATTTGAACTCAATTTTGCAATTATGACCTTAGCCAATAATGATTTCCTCTATGAAACAGACATTCATCTAGGAAATTTGTTGAAATGGTATCAGAGCACAGTTCTGAGTAGAAAAAAGATATTCTGTTTGCTTCTTAATTATTGAGTTGTATAGGAAGAGCCAAAAGAGAGTTTTATTTTCATAGATCTCTTCACTACTACTAGTTCTAGTTCTTAACCTTTCACTTCTAAAGCTTCATTTAGTTTTTCTTCTTCCCCTTCTCTTGTACTTAAAAAATCTTCTTCTTCTAAGTTAAATTTTTTTTATGAAATAGATTATATCTCAGAAGAAAAGAAAATTCAACAAACAGTTCTTTCCCTTATAAATCCCAATATAGCTTTTTCAAACTCTTCTATTTCCCTTATCAGATCTATAAAAACCCTTTTAAAACCAAAATATCAAGCTCTAAAAAAATAAGTTCAAGTCACAAACTTTAATAAATGTATTCTTTTAGCAGGAACTCAAGAGCACTTTATTACTCTTCAGATTCCAAAAAAATTTCCTTAACAGTAGTTAGAACAAGGTTACACTTATCTTTACTTTGGTGCAATCAGAGTAGCTTTGACCTTTTATGACATATATGGTATTCTTATATGTACCAGAATGGCTTTATTGGACATAAGATTTAAAGAATACAAGCATGTAGTACTTGACATAGTTGAGACGACACTTAATAAAGAAATTATCTTTTTCACAGTCTTCCAAATTATAATATGTCTCTCCATGATTTGACATTATTAGATGCTCTAAAAGTTCAAGTCCAAATTGTAGCCACTGAAATGAAAGGATTCTAAGCAACATTTCACTACCAAATGGTATACAGAATTTAAGACCATGCCATTAACTTGCCTTTTCCTCACTATGATGATGTTATCTTTGTAAAGATGGAAGCAGTAGACAAAAATCTTAGATATGCTCATATTTCAAAATAGATCTCTAATGAAGAACTTACCAAACTTTTCCCAAAGTCATGGACAACAAGTTATCAAAAGATTTGGAAAAAAGATGAACCAATTCATCATTTTAATCCAACATACAAGACAAATCTAGATGGCACTGTGACAATTACGTTTGATCACAATAAAGGAAAAGATGTTCCTCTTCTAACAATTTTTTCAACACAGTTCATGATACAAAGATGTCAAGCTGAGCCAAATGTTATAGTCACACACTTTCAGTTTGACGAAAAACCTATATATGCATATAGATATCCAAAAAGATGTTGTTATCGGGACATTGATTGCAAATGTAAAGAATGTCAAAAGGACACATACAAAAGCTTCCTTGATGATATGATGATACTCCAAAAAAGCAAAAAAAAAAAAAAACTTCTCAACAAAAGCTCAAAGAGAGATATGAGAATGGAGATCCTGAAGTTAATCTCTTTGGAAAACTCTCAGGAAAGTTTAACTACTATATTATCTATCTTAAGAAATAAAAATAACTTCTCAAAATTTGCAAAACCCAAGCTTCACAAAACTCAAATCCAAAACAACTTTTACCTTAGATATGTATCATGCAACCAGGTTACCCAGGATCAGATTTTCTTCTTTTCCAAGAATTTAAAAAAACACCAATGCAAACACATCTAAAAAATCCCAAACCCCACTAATAGAGATGAATATGAAACTAGAAAAGTGTTTTTCAAGTT